TGAGATAAAAATCTGAGTACACTTTACTTATAACCAATTTCCCTTGGACAAAATCGTCAGAAATAGCTACTGTACGTGGATGGTCCAGTTGTATCACGTACGTAGAACGTCCACGATTTTTATTGAAAACAACCACCGGACAACAAAGTATCTATGGACACTAACTTTGCTGACCTTTCAAGTATTTGTCCCGCAGAAATCACCTTTGCTTTTTCTGGACTCAGCGCAGGACGTGTCTTCCGATCTCGAACCACTATGGTTGGCGGGTGTGTGAACTCTGGCGAGGCGCATGACCAATGCAAAATTTAATTAAATTAATTTGCGGTCCGCAGAAATGCCAGTCTATCCCCTCAGTTAGGCGGGCCACTGATGTTAATACAGAAGTATATTTTCGGGCACACATGTGGTATTCTAATGTTTTTCAATATCCGAATCGAAGAAATGGCCGATTAAAATAGCGAGAATGTTATGTACAGCACATATCTCTACTTGTCACCAACGTGTGTGTAAATTGTGCATTTCCCAAACGAATATATAGAATAATTGTTTCATTTCTTTTAAGATGATCGCCAGGTTAAATTCCCAGGGACGATAAATTTGGAGAATAGTGTCCCTACTTTTTTCTCGTTTTAACTGTTGATGGATTTGCTGTATTAGCCGCTTGCTTGAAAAAAATAATTTAGAAAGCTAACTTTCGGTGGTCGCCTGGGAACTTACTGTAACAAGTTCGGCGCTGTACGACCGTAATTGCACACAGAAACACCCAACATGCAATTGAAGGCAAATCGTAACAATTGTGATGTATAATTAACCAGTAACGGCGGCAACTAAATAATGACAATTCTGTAATCATTTTTGTCGTTTTACACTTGTCTGCCCATTATTTTTATGAATTTTTCGGTACTTCTGCAGATCTTCTAGATGAAAAGTTCAGAGAAGTCCAAAGTTAATCGGCGGATATGGAAGTGCAAGCGCAAGGTCCGTTCCGGTAACCAGTAGTTTCTTACGAATCCATTTGGCCTTACAGAACTTTCAGATAAACCAGAATCTTGGAGGGCCTGTAATTACGCCGATTCCTTCGATTTATCCTTAAGAAGTGCTCACGACAACTGTGAACGCATCGATTCTCAGAAAGTCTCCTACGCAGAGTTTTTTGAAAGGTTTGAAAAACCAAGCATCCCAGTCGTTATTATGAACGACCAATTGACATGGCCCGCTTCCCACAAGTGGACCTTAAAGGTAACACCTAGATATAATTTAGTCGAATCGCGCTTTCAGCGTCTGGCAAAACGTTTCAAAAACCAAAAATTGAAGTGCGGCGATGATGATGACGGTCATAGTGTTAGAATCAAAATGAAGTATTTTGCGGAATACATGCAGAATAACGATGATGACAGCCCTTTGTATATATTTGAAGACAGTTTTGCGGAGGTAAGTTCTCATTAGACCTCTTCTGAGTCCAGAGTTCACCTGTAGCGTCGAAAACTGAGGAAGCTCCTTTCTGAGTACTCGGTCAGCAAGTTGTTCCCTGAGGATTTATTTGGTATTGGCAAAGATGGGAACCGGCCCCCATACAGGTAGCTCACCGTTTTAATGAGTACCCAAAATTCAGATGGTTCTGCGTGGGACCCGCGCGTTCAGGAACAGCAATCCACTTAGATCCGCTGGCTACAAGCGCCTGGAATGCGCTTCTTCAAGGCTATAAGAGGTTAGCATCTGACCAGTTTTTACATGGCATAGTGTTTGTGTACTGACAATTTGC